TGTGGCATAAATAACGCAGGGATTGCCTTGACCACAGACACAATGAGTGAAACATCTGCACCTCCACACACATTTACTCCCCATGAACACTCCTTTCTCTCTGCAACGCTCTTTCTTTTTTTCCCCATCTCGCAACGTTTGCCAAACTGCAGTGGTTTTGCTCCTTTTGAATCAACACATTAACAACTCTTTAATTTGTGACTTTCAAATATTGTCTTACAAAGGTATGTTTCCCACTCACAGCTCTGCTCATATGTTTACACACCTGTGTTTTCACTAACATGAACTGATTCACACAAATTCGTTCTGAACATTATGCTTCCCAAGTGTAAACCATCTGCTGCTCCTAAACTAATGCATGCAGACTTTCCTTACATTTTCTGAAAATCCACTGCATAATCTTGCCTCCAATTTTGATTTTTCCAAAACATAGTGAGCATTTCTGCTTATGAGCATAACATTCAATTTTTTGTCTCATCAGATCAAATATTCTTCCAGAAAGTTTCAAATGCTATTGTTTATATAGCCCAAGGGATTTATTGTGCCATGGCCACCAGATCTGTTTTTTATATAGTTTTATGATTCTATTTTTGTTTAAGTAGGCTACATTCTTATATATTAGATATACAGAATTACTAGATTTTCCTTTGCATCTTTTTCTAGCATTGGTGTCTGATATTTTTCTTCTTCTGAATCTTGATTCTGATTTGGTTTCATTTGAATTGGATTTGCTTCTTATTTTTTGTAGAACCGTGTCTAAATAAAACTGATTGGCCTTTTATTCTACAGCCTCAAATATCTTTGTGCAACTTTCCCCTGTATATAGAGTTGAATCAGTGTGTCATATATACCAGTTGTCAGTTGTTTTCTATACAAATTACAGTAGTGTATTACTGTCCAAATTTTTCTTCACTCAAAAAGAAAGGTTATCTTGACATTTTACATGAGACAGAACAGATTACTGTCATGAGATTCATTGTAATAAAAGTGTAATAATAAAACAAGTGCAATAACAGGCCTAGCATAAAAGACTGTATCCTAAGAAACTTCAATCTACAGACAAGTACTTTTTTTGTTTATTACATACTGTTATGTCCATTGCAAGGATGAGAAGTGTAAACTTAGGTAAGATTATTCAAATTCTATGATTTTCTATTGATATCTTGGGTGTTTTATGACACATGCTAAGGGGGTCAAAACATATAAGCAGAACTGTATTGCTAGTATGTGGTGTAAAAAGGAAACCTTGTTCTGAGCTGTTTTAAATTTAAAACTGTAATTATAATGGGACAATAAACACCGCAAAAGTTGTGAGCTGTTCATTAACAGTTTAGTGTAGCTGTTTGTCTGACATCAGCTTGTATGACTAACATTTACGATTCAGTTCAGTTCGAGTGAATGGCTTTCTAAAAGCAAGTGCTGTGTTCACTGTTATTGTCTGTGAATCCTCAAACAGGCTATCAAAAATCCCATTGCTGAAATCCCGAGGTCATCTATTAATGTATTGATCAGATAGTGACATTGGATCTGTCTTTTTCATGTTCACCATCGTCCAAGCTTTGTTGCTTTGTGGTAATGGAGTAAGAGAGTGATACATGATATATGAACATACACATGGATTCTTACCTTTTATTCCAAAGCCAGACTCACAAACCACAATGTTTCCGCCCTTGGTTTTCCAACTCCAAAATCCTCTCTCTGAGATCCAGGCTGCTAAAAAACCTCCATTGTCATATCTGTTCCCACTTTGGTGCAGTGCAGCTCTCAGTCATCCTGTGCCTGAATATCCAGCACCTCTCTTCTAACAGTCAGGGATGGTGAGGAGAGATGTCCACCATTGTTTGCTTTCCCACAAGGCCCGACTTCTGCACACCCTTCCACGAGAGCTGTCACGCTCACACATCTAAAAGAATAAGAGGCTCTTCCCTTCTGTTCTTTTCCTCTATCCCTCCCTTTTCCTTTCCTTTCTGTTGCCTCCCTCTTTTCCTCCCTCCCCTTGCAGCACATCAATAGAGACAGCCTCCCTTCAGAATGCAAACACTCCAAAACCCCCAGCAGCCAATAGCACATCAGCAGGGCCCAATCCTGGCCAATCGCCTTCCAGGATCATTTTTGAGACTTGAAGGTTGGCTCAGAGAGCTATGGGGGGTAGGTATGGGAAAATGTGGAGCCTTGTACGAAGAAAGAAGAGGACAGAGAGGGAGCGAATGACCAGTTATACATGCTTTTGGTATTACAACATCTGCACAACAACTCATGTTGCCCAAACATTAACGCCATAGCTGGATGTTATTAATGCTTACAAATGTCTGTTCCTCATTACTCTGAAAGATCAACAAACATAGGCAAATAACGAAACCAGGGCGTATTCTTTTACATCCACTGAATCTATTGTACATGGTATAATGGTCTTTATTGGTAATTAGGTTCACATAAGTGCAGCTCACACAACCACAAAACCAAAAAATCTTCCTACGGAATTAGCTTGAAGTGCGAGCGTGAATACATACTTCAAAAAAACATAATGATCATTCATCAGAAACCAGGTTATCTCTGGGAAGAATTTATAGTCAGTTTCATTCTGAAATTAGTACTGTTTCACTGTTAGTTTGCCAAACAGAACAGGGAGGTATGTGTGGGGGTGAGGAGGTTGGGGGGAGCCTCCAAGATGTTTCAGAAAGGGCTGTTTTCAGTTTCCGTCCAAAATCCACATTCTGAAACTGATACGAGTGGGTTTTTTTTTTTCCAACTGGCCAAATGGATGGAAATAGCATAAACTGTAGCAGTTAAGATAGATGTTAAGAGAAACATTACTCAGTTGTGTCTTCTGCTGAGGTTAAAACAGCTCATCACTAATTACGTTTCTCTCCAATCATACTAAAATCATTCTTACCAGAATGTTACAATAAGCTGTTTATTCCGTGACATCTGGCTATTCTGTGGATGAATTGAAGTCAAACTGGCCTTTTTCCAGTGGCTAAAAAGAATTTCAAAATCTTAATCCTCCCTAACCCCATGTTCATTCTTACAAATTGCGTTCTAAATATATTTACACGAGATCTGCTTAAAAGTGATGCAATTAACAAATTAATTAAAAATATATTAATAAAATTCCATTTTTTTTTTTTTAATTTTAAACAAATGTGATTGCATTGAATACAAAAAATAATTTTTTAAATCAGAGCATTGTACAGTAATAGGTGAGAAATTCGGTTGTAATGGAGTAATGGAGCTGTAACCGGAGTGTAACTTGGTCACTTGTAAGCATCTCTGTTTGGCCCCAGTTGCTTATTAAACCAAGGATTTCCAGTCTTATCCGCAAAGTGCTGGTGTGGCTGCAGGTTTTCATTCAAGCTACACCTGATTCGGCTTGTTTAATCATCTTCGCCTTAGGTGTGGATCCTGCTTAGCTGGAATGAAAACCTGCAGTCACACCAGCCCTTTATGGATAAGATTGGACACCCTTCCATTAAACTATAGCTGGCTAACCCCATTCCTAAAGATATAAAAGTCTGGAAATTTTTGTTCCAGCCCTGACCTAATACCCTGAGTAGAGCAGGGTGTGTTGGAACTAATCTCAGTGTGATACATTGCCTGGAATGGGGTTGGGCATCCATGCCTTAAGCATTAGACAAGCCCTCTTTAGTTTTTCATAGAACAGTGTTTTTGACTAAATTTCAGAGAAGGGACACTCCAGCCAAAACAAATCTTAGTCAGGGGCCAGTGGGTGACTTTAAAACAGTACTTGACAGTGGTATTTTCCTAGATAAAATATTCCAGAGATTAGACACGTGATTAGAGTTGAAGCTTTGTGTAGGTCGGGGATGTCACCCAAGGGACACACACTGTAAAGTAAACATTGTGTACATGACTGTCACTGATACATGTGGCCAGTGAAGAAAGCCTTCTCCATCATCAGTGACTTGTTTGATACTTCTTAGCTCATAGGTTTTTAACCATATTAAATTTTCAAGTGTAAAAGGCATTTTCTCTAAGAGCCAAAGGCGAAGTATTGACATCTATCTCCCAACTCCACAGCAGGGTGAAAGCAGAAAGAATTTTTGTGCTGACTTTAATGGTGAGAAAACTCCTGAGGCACTCTGAAGACAAGAAGAAGACAAACTGTAATCCATGATCTACTTATTCAGTTGTCTGAGAAAAAGTGAGAGCTACTCACTACTTCTGCACAGGACAAAACATGTTCATACAGTGGTGTGTCTATGGTTTTTTTTTTTTAAATATGGGTTACCAAAGGGGGCAAGAGGAGTGACACCACCTAATGGGACCTGAATAGGACAAAACCGCATTCAAAAAAATTACCTGTTTTGGTCCTTGGTACAAAATACCAAAGCTGCAACGAATCTGCCAGGAAGAGGATGCAAGTGTATTTTGCCCCCATGAGTAGTGAGGAAGATGGTTAGAGAGGCAAGGTGGGAGATTTGCAGAAGATGGTAGAATTTTGTCACCAAGTCCACAAATCTAAAAGTAGATATCGATCCTGTGCCAAAAATGTGTGACTGAAGAAAGCCTTTCATCTAAGCACAAATGTAAGCACCTGGAATTCCCTAAACACTACCTGAACTTTGACTGGAACTGGATTCTATGGTTAGGTGGAACAAAAAAGCAACACTCAAGGTGGAGTTGGTGTAAACAAAAAGAATCTAAACCACACTGTATAGGATGTGAAGTTGCCTTTTCCTCCAAAGGCCCTGGGAACCTTGTTAAGATACATTATGTGGTGGACTCCATGAAATTCCAGGAGATTTTATATGGAAATCTGGCTGCCTCTGCCAAGAAGTTACAATGGGCTTGTAGTTGGACCTTCCAGCAGGATAATGATCTAAAACATACATCCAAATCCACACAAAAATATTCATCCAAATCCACACAAAAATAGTTAAATGACCACAGAATCAAGTTAAACATGGTCGTCCCAGACCTCTGACCTAAAGTTGAAAACTCATTGGTTGTGCATCTTATGATGGCAGGTAGGCTGAACGGCAGTGGTAGCTCAGTGGTTAAGCTGTTGGACTATTGCTCAGAAGGTCATGAGTTCAAACCTTACCACTACTGGTCCCTTAAGTAAGGTCTTTAATACTCAGATGTCTAAATGAAATAAATATGAAGTGCTGTGTCTATAAGTATATACTTATATATTATATATATAAGTATAAAGAGATGGGGTGTATCTTGCAAATGGGCAAGATTTGCCTTATGTTTTTGATTGTTGCCCATTTGCGAGATACACCCATCTCACAGCCATCACATTTTTTACATTTACATTTTTTTTTTTACAGATACACCCATGTCATTTTTTACTTCTTTTTTGGTCAGCAAATTGTTAAAATGTGAAATAGAGCACAACATGGGGAATGCAAACTTGCACTCAGCTGCAGTATGCTTAGGGAAAGACGCCTCCAGACCACCAGATGGCGCTGCACATGTCCATAGGAAGAAGTTTAAAGGCTCTAGTTAACCGCTGACTTTATTTAAATCCCGTGTGTTTTGTGTCTTTGGTGGATCAGCTGTACATTCACGGCTTTAAAAGTTCTTGGCTACGTCTGAGCATTTCTCATATAGTCAGCTGCATAGTTAGGTTTTAGCAAAAGCCAAGCGAGATCATCAGCATAGACCTCCTTTAGGCAAGCCAGACCCTTTATCGAGTCTATCAATTTAAACAGCGGACTCTTTCAGTCAGGTAAACACTACGCAAAGATGTTCGAGAGAAAAGCAGAAGAACACTTTGCTGAAACAGTGTAAAATGAGTGAGATTAGTGGTGTGAGAGGCAGCGGAGTGTGCTGTCCCGCTGTCAGTGCAGCTGAATGAGCGCCGCTGCACCCACGTGGTTAGATGGCGGAGACTCCGCACGCGCTTTTGTTCCAAATCAATCAAAAACCGGAGGAAGACGGACAGACATGAGCGGACCTGCTAAATCAGGAAATCCATAGTTCACCACATAGTATTGTACATAACCAAGTCTAATAGAGCAACCCGTCGCAGGTTTGAGTAACATTTACATTCCTTAAGTCAAAATATCCACATTTGAGAAGCGAGGAAAAAGTTTTGAAGCGGTATGTTCATGTTATATTCGCTGTTTAGGATTGTGGCTTTGTTGCATGCAAATGCGGTACGCTTGCCTGCCTGCCTGCTTGCTAACGCGGCTAAATTCTTTTTTTAGTCATTCATTTTTCAGTGACTTGTTTTCATTCCAGTTCACTAAGTTTTCCTTGGTGCTGAATTGCTGTTTAGCCACGAGGCTGGTGTATTTTGTGCTGGAGAGTGTTGCGTGGTGCGGGTTTTTATTGCGCTGGTTAATTGTTTAGTTAGCTCGGCGGGATGCGCGCTGCTAGCGGCGCTAGTTTGCTAACCAGCCGCAGAACGTTACAACAAAGAAACAAACGGAGCCGAAGCTCTACGGCGATGATGTCCGACCTAAACACACCGCAAACACTCTCTCAACCCGCTTCTATCCCGCTAACCGCTGACTAGCGAGCATGGGAGTGATGTGGAACATCACTCTCCTTAATAACTTTTATAACTGAACTCCGTTTAGGTTCATTTGTAAACAATGATACACGGAAGCTAGTTCTCCCGCAGATCATTCCCATGCTGTAAGCATGTATTCATCCCTGAGCTAGCAGTTACTGCAGCAGAACACTGCGAATAAAGCTTTTATCTGACCTATTTACACATTTACTCCAAGCCAGAGTGCGCATTACATACGAGTGTACAAGGCTTAGGTTTCTTCCAGTCGATAAGTTTGAGTTGAAGAAGTGAATTCATTATAATGCAGAGCTGCTCTTGATCACACGGTGTATTTTTGTCAGCTTTTTCAGTTACTATGCCACGCAAGAAGGTGACTGATGTCTCTGGAAATGGTGGACTGAAGAGAAAGAGAGCCAGCGGCAAAAAGAAAGAGCGGGATTTCAGCAGCGACGACGAGTTTGAAGATTATGAGCAAGAAAACACAAAGAAGCCCGGCAAGCAAGCCACTAAATCCGGCCTCCAGCCAGTCACTGTGTCTGACGATGTGAAGGAGAAGATTGTAAGATTTCATTACGCTTCTGCACAGCTGACTGTTCTGAAACTTTTAAAAATGTATAAAAAAAAATGGGGTTGTGCTTAGGGGGCTTGGTGGTTTGGTGGTTTAGTTTAGTGGTTTAGGGCTGGGGGTCCGAATCCTGCCTCTGCTCTGTGAGCACAGTGTGCATGTTCTCCCAGTGCTTCAGGGGTTCTCTCCAGGTGCTCTAGTTTTCTCCCCCAGTACAAAGACGTGTTGTAGGCTGATTGGCGTTTCCAGAGGTGTGTGTGTGTGTGCGCGATTATGCCGTGTACCCGACTCCCCTGGGCTCCAGGTTACCCCGAGACCCTGTGTAGGGTGAGCGGTACAGGCACTGAAAGGATGGATGGAGGGAGGTGTGCTTAGTGACTCTGGGATAATGTGTTTAGTGTTGTAGTTTTGTTATTCCCGTGAGAAGTTGGTGGCTGCACTGACGTCACATTGTTAGCGCCGCTACAATGGCATTTAATAGAAGGAAATATTTCAACGCTCTCACACACAAAGGATAACGCTCAGGTTTCACTGTAAGCTCCGAAAAACAAAAGAGCAAGAGCGTCTTTTCTCACTCACCATTTTCCAGTGGTGTGTGGGTTTTTTTTTTTTTTTTTTTTTGTTTTTTGTTTTGTTCTGTTTTGTTTTGTCCCCCCACCCAAACACTGGACTCAAAAGTCCAGAATGCAGTGCAGATATAGGATGTAGTTACGCTGCGTTATGGCTAGTTGGTGATCTGAGATGACAAGCGCAATGGAGTTGATGGGGTTTTAGTGTGAATGTTTGCGTGTACAGTTGAGGAGGTGAGAGAGCTGGACTAAAGCACTGCTGCATTGGTCTTTTTATTAAGAGATGAAGTGAGGGCTAAATCCTGTGGTGCTACGATCAGCGAGTAGCGGAACAGCATCGAGGGTAACTGTTAACCAAGTGAAAATAGATCAGCATGTCCGTGAAACACATATTTTAAAAAGTTTAAACTAAAGCCAACTCAAAACTTCCATGTTATTTATAGCTTACATGTTAATTCTAAACATTAATATGCAAGGTGTTGAGGGTGCATTTTCCCTTTAACTGTAAATTAAATTTCACACACACCCCCAGCGCGCGCACATTTATTTTATGAACGTAATCCAGCTATTTTTAAATGTTAGGCTTATTGCACAATTGTGTATATAATATTCTGGCTAATTATGGGAGCCATAGAGTTCCCCTTCTCTTTGAACTTTCTACAGAAAACGTTAAGTCCAAACTGATATTATGACAGGATTATGATTTCCTGTACCAAAAAAAGAAGGAAAAAAAAAAGACTTCTTCAGATCCCACTTTAAGAACTTTTAAGAAACTTGATTTGAAACTTGAGAGCATGCCATGTGTTCGTGAAATTTCCTGCAATAAAGAAACTGTCTCCAAGTACTATGTCCTAATATTTTTTCCTTTTACTCCTGTAGAAACTTGAGGTGCCCAAGGTCAAAGGTCAGCTGCTCGTTTTTGGTGCTACTAACTGGGACCTGATTGGCCGAAAAGAGGTGCCAAAGCAGCAAGGTACCTATACACTTGGACCAAAAAAAGGTTTTCTCCTGGCTGAATATTTGTCATCTCTGTGGTTGCAAATTAAATACGCTTTGTTTTAATTAGACTTAAACACTCTGAACTAATTATGGCCTATAACTGACTAATAACGAAAATGTTCAAAAGCTAATCCCTAATAAAATTGTTACATGTTTTATACAAAAAATTCGGATAATTTTCTCACTTGCTCTCTCACTTCTGGTGTCATTAGAATAAAACATAAATTTGAAACAACAAAAGTTACTTTTTTTTTTTTTAAACAGAATTGATAAATGACCTTTAAACACAATGCCTTCATATCTAAGGATTTTTTTTCTATGTATAAGCAGGTTTTTGAAGTAATTGTGTGATTTCTAAGAGGAATAGGCCTAAACGTAAAGTAGAGCATTTGGAAGAATATCCACAGTGTGAACGCATGAACTTGTGGCGACTTGTGTATACTGAAGACTCGGACACCTTTCAAGTACAGCGCAGTCCTCAGATTTCTTGACCATAAGCCATGTGTTGCCTAATAGTACTGACTGTGTATAAGAGCAGTCTGAGAACACCAGATTGTTTGTGTTTTTGTGAAACTGCTTTTACGAACATTATGGAAAAAAATTCGAAGCAGCCGTTTGATAAGGGTTATTGTGCTGAACAGAGTCATAGGAAGTTGAAGCTGAGAAACATTCCTGTTTACCTTGGTGTGCTCTGGCTTCAGACGGTGTTGTAACAGCTGTGCAGCATGTAGGCCATGGTCTGTCTGATGGGATCAATAAGGAATTGATCTTGGCCATGGCTGCTCTGACTATTATGCAAACATGCTCGCTTTAAAAGAGCCCAAGTAGGAGCTGGAACTGCTTTTATTTTATGATTTCATGCTGCTCTGTATCTAGTGCTTTATGAGGATTAGTGTCCTCATTCAGTCCTTTTGCATGTTTTACTTAACCTCTCAGCTGACACCTGATGGTGAAAACAAAAAAGGGTGAACGTCTTGTTTGTCCTGTGTATATATATGTATCTTTGTGGCGTTTTTTTTTTTTTTTTGGTAAACTTCTAAACTTGTGTTCTTTCATGTGTAAAGCTGCATACAGGAACCTGGGCCAGAATCTGTGGGGTCCTCATCGCTATGGCTGTCTGAATGACGTGATGGTGAGCAGTGTGGTGTCGGGGAACTGTGCCGCCCACAGCCTGCTCATCACCACCGAAGGCAAACTCTGGAGCTGGGGTGAGTGGCTCTACGCACAGCATTCCGTTACATCGCGGTGTTATTCCTTTCTTCAGATGAAAAATCAAATAACTCAAATAAGCAACTTGATATTTTAAATGTTATACATTTTTTTTCTTTTAATGCCACCTTTGTGTCCTTAATTTGCCTCCCTGTGCTCTTAGCAAGAGCATGTACATGGTGTGAGATTGAATATCACTGGAGCACAGGGTGCGTGTTGTGTTTTGTATCCTGTACGAAATAA